CTAGAAATAGCAAAAATATACCTGAACTAATAGAGTATACACTTTCATAGGGATTTCTACCTCAGACAGCCTTATCCAAAATAAAAATCCTTGATGCATTTAAGTTTGTCTCAAAGTTCAGGTTCTATACATGATTTTGACATTAGGAAAAAAACTCTAACTTTCATTGTTTTTAAAGATATTTCAATTTGTACTGGCCAGCCTGAGCCCTTCGTCTATGTTAATATGCATCTCTCTTGCCCCTCACCTCTGAGAACACATACCCTTGGATTTAGCCCAAAGGCTATCCCTGAACTATTTTGAAAATGAAATAAAAGTGATCTAATAATGAAGGTTGGACTCCTGATATAAGACCAAAACCCTCAAATGTTACTGTGAGGCAGGATTATGCATTTCATAGCACAGTCTTCTGAATGGATGAACTAAAACCTCACCTCCTTTGGGGAGTAAACGTGTCACATCATATAGATACGGATACACTCTATTGCTTGACAATTACTCCTTAGGGGACATCTGACTGACTTTGTAGTAATCTCACTTCCTAAATGCCTTTTCAAACTGTTTTACAGATAAATTAAAACTGCTAACACTTTCTAGGCTCTGCAAATAGATAAGATCCTCCTGATAGCCTCCTACAGCTATAGTGAGCCACTCTCAAGTATCTTCTCCCCTGATCTTAGAGGATGTTAAGGCAAATTTAAAAACTGTAAAAGAGACTGCAAAGCTCACAGTTCAATCTGTCACCATTTCATTTGTCCCACTGTATGGTTTAGAAATAGACTATTATGTTTAAATAAGTCTACTAAAACAGTAGCTTTGGKGCTAGTAAAATAGTTAAATAAAAAAATCACAGAAATCACTACTAAAATAATAAAACTAGCCATTAGTAGATAGTATTGAGAAAGAGCATGCATAATGTGGTGGAAATAATTGGCCTGATACTGAAATCCACATTTATTATGCAATAGCTGTGGCATAGAACAGAACACAGAAGAAAACAAATATGATATCAGCTGATAAGCATCTGAGGTAAGTATATGTCAGCTTTCTTTTAGCATATAAGTGATATGTATATTTAAATATGACGCATATGGAAAACAAGACATTTCTAACTGCAAATTGAGAGCTTTTTTTTTTTTTTTTACCCCCTCTAACAGCAGCAAGGTCTCAAAATAGCTGAATTTGTTTTGAAAATTGCTGAGCTTAAGGTAACACCTTTTCACATGGCAGACTGCATGTTAAGTAGAAGTACGGTGCATGCTAAGAAAACAGGATGAGGATAAATGTCTTTAAGCCCAGTCACATAAATCTCACATAATGTTAACCCTTGGGATTCTTTCCTACTGTTACCAGAAAATAAAGAGGCAGCAGTTTTTCCAGTATGAAAATACAGTTATCGTTTACTTGTGACCCTAAACCTGAAAATACCTTCAAATGTGTTAACAATGAGAAAAATGATAGAACTAAGTTGTCAGATTTCATTTGATTTTAAGCCTGAAGCAGACAAAAAGCCTATCTCAAAAGAACATTCCTGGGAAGGATATAACCTCCAGTGTTTGGTTGCCCTCATGCATTCTTGAAGGAAAGAATGCATATGCTAATGGCCAACATTTTCTAAAGAAAAAACATATGGTGTTTTTTCCTACAGGCCAAAGAAATATATGGAGAACAGCTAATAATTACAACAATCATTCGTTTTCCAGAACTATCCTTCTAAATGGGTTAATAGATTATCTTTAAATGAAATAAAGTAAAATTCACCCAGGAACATGACTTTCTGCTTAGAAATGTCCTATTTTGATTTTGGCTCTATTGAGGCAACGTGCCTTTCTGACCCACCAATGTATGACGTGGGGGCTGCAGTTCATTTAAACAGTAGTCCTGGGCCGCTAGCAGGTTTCCAGATGTGCTACTCTCTGTCCTTGCAACCAATAAATACGAGGAGGAGGACTCTTGGAATGCTAACATTTTCTCCAGAAAACTGCCCAAAGAGTTAAAGACATTCATGATAAAAGCAGCCGCACCAGTTCTTGTTATGCTGCCAGAACTGAATGTTTACCCATCTCCGAGTCCTCACCAGATGGGGCAAAAGAAAGTAATTTAGAAAGTCTCTTTTCCCAACGGTTTTGCCGTAAAGAAGAGTATAGCTAAGCAAAACAAATGATTTATGTGGTAGAAACAGACTCATAAAGACACATTCAAATAGTTGCACGTAGGTTTCTTGGCATTTACGTTAGCAGATATTTTGGGGGAGCATCTGCAATATAAACACTATCGTGTTATTCCATACTCCATCATTTTGCCTGTCATTATATTTATAATTCACACATTTTGGTCTACAGCATGTGCTGCAAGAGGGGCTGGGTGGAATGGGTGAATTTTGGGGTTGAAATATACTTCACTTTATGATGAAAGCCATAGGTGTACAGAACTGGAAGATGCTCAGTGTCCCTAGAGCAGAACACGTGGGCATCTGAAGTAGCTTCCTATTGCTTAGAGCCTATAAAAATTGAAATGCAGAGATTCTGAGATTTGGAACAACAGCAGCAACAAAAAATCTGAGCTGTTATTGGGCAACAGCTAAGGGTAATTTGAAAGACTTGTATATATTGATAATAAAAGCTCCCCCCCCCCCCCCAAAAAAAAAAAAGTGCAAAGGACAACACCTTTACCCTAATTTATTTTCAGAGATAATGAGAATGATTTCAGAAAGTCTGCTTTCTTCAACATTTTGGCAGGCACTGCTTTCCAACACACAAGTGTCATCAGTGTGCATGTATGTGTGTGCATGCACACGCATGTCCATGTGCAGCTGAATTGCCCCTATGCAAAATCCAGGCTGCAGCCAGAAGGAGTGCACGCAAAAAATGGGTATATCTGTGTTTGYAAATACGTATCAGCTGCTCAAAAAACTAATATTCAGAACACTCCTTTTACTTATTTCAGCACAGTGTCAAGACCATAGTTAATGGTATAGCCCAAACTATCTTATTTCATGAAACAAATGCCAGACTAGCAAAGATCTAGACTAGCTTGGACAATTCTAGGAGATTCCAGTTTCGTTTAAGTATGTAATATAACTGAAGTACTTAAAGGTTTTATTATGACTAAGGTCCATATCCTGCCCCCACAAAACCAAGAGAAGCTTTGGCATTGACTTCCACAGGAGTAGGACATTTTCCTATAACGCTTTAGCCTAGATTAACCATGAATATACTTCAGCATAGTTCAAAATGTTTCTTTTGACGGTATGAATTTAGAGTAAGTTTCCAGTCTAATTATCTAATATTATTCATTTGGATGGTTAAAAGCTATACCGTATGAGTGCAGATTAATCAGATGGCAAACTTCAACACAGCACAACAGTTAAATTTAGCTTAAGGTTTCTATTAACATCTGCTTTTGAACAAGTCTGTAAGTTTCCTCTTTCACTGGTAAGAGCGAATAACAACTTGTGAGTTAGGTTTATGAGAACACAGCAAATTTAAAACAACAGCTTCCATAATGTTTAATCAGCACATCTACATAGCTACATAGGAACTAACAAAACGTACTGCTATTCTTGTCAGACACTTAAGTCCCACGCATACTTCATGTATTGAAGTCCCCCACAGACAACTGGAAGCTCAGGAGGCTCCTAACACAAATAAATATTTTTATTTACTATGGCTGGGTAAACTTTCTCCTGGATTGGRCATTTCTTAGGAAGCTGAGTTTAGGAAAAGACTGTACTATTRTCAGACTTCTGGCTTACACATAATGCTAGGCAAGGAGTAAAACTGACTGCTTTCACTCCTACTTTTTCTGGGAAAGACAGTAATTGCTTGCTGCATGACATGCCTCTTATCAGTTCAGACTTTGTGTAATTTGTATATAAGTCTAAGTTCTGCATAGACCTAATTGATTCCTGCCAACATGAGCTGGGAGATTAAACAGACATCCAGCGTCTGCTTTCTCTTATATATCCAGCCTAAGCCTCTACAGGAACGTAAGGATGTCTGAGTCCAAGCGAGGCCAGGTCACAGGCGAGCCCTTTGCAGCTACACAGTAATGGAAAGCCAGAGTTAAAAAAAGTACAACACGGTCTCCCAGCTCTAGCCAAAATGCAAGACAAATGATATGTCAAATCCTAAAACCACATTCTGCAGCTTCAGCTGTGCTCAGGCTGTAAAACACCCGAGCACTGCTACAATAGGAAAGCATAAGCCAATACTGGCAAAGTATGGTCACTGACATAAGGTCCTGCACACAATATGGCAGAAATCAAAACTGTATCAACTTGTCAACAAGCTGGGTTTGCTTCTATTTTTATTATTAGAAAGTAAGACCAAGTTCTACAGTAACATCCCCTCAGATGTTTCTGATCCCCATCAGACTCTAGGGGATTGAACATCAGTCTGGAATATGATCCTATTTGTCTTTGTCACTAATATTCATGCCAAAGTCTATATAACAGAAATTTCACACTTGGACTTAAAGCGAAGGTGTAGTTCAACTTCCTAACAAGGAATCATTTCTGTGCTTTACACTTACACAACTGGGAAAGCATTTGGAATTCTAGAGCAAACCTGTATAAGCGGATGTTAGAAAAGGTGAAAAATTAAAATGTTACTGTTTTAATGGACATCACATTTCAGAGGTGACATTTCAACGAGATTAACTGAGTAGCCCTCAGCTGTCTTCCAGCCACTGGTTTGATGTTTCTGCATGTGACACTGCTGTTCAAAGGCTCTTATGACTTTGCTATAAGCACTTACTATTACTGGGGAAAAAACAAGAAGCTACCTCAATTTCACTAAAATCAGGCATCTAAGGATAAAATCCCAATTTCATGAAACTAAGCTCCACTTGTCTTCAGCTGAGCCTTGCTTTTACCACTGAGATCCAGATGAGAACTTGGGTACCAATTTCTAAACACTGAATTTGTGAAGATCTAAAAATCTAAAATGTTTTCAAGTAAAACCAAAACATATCCAGAAGAGGCAGCGTGCTTGCTTTACCTGAATCAGCAGCTGTGATGAGCAAAACATACTGCTCCTTGGTTTCACGGTCCAGGCTCTGCACCAAGCGGAGCTCTCCACTGGCGGAGAGAGTGAAGGCTCCTTCTTCGTTTCCACCCGTGAGAACATAAGTGAGCTTGCTGTTTGGGCCTTGATCATCGTCCCTTGCTACAACCTGCCAAAGTGATACAACGCATGGGAAGAAACGTCAATGACTGAGCAGTTTCAGGTCATTCTTCATAATTTTACTCAAATAGAGAAAATCCACGATACTGACCCAAATTAGTGGTGTGAATTAATCTAAATGCCTTAAAGCACACTATAAATTATCTGCAATTGTGCTGTTTGAAAATATTAAATAATTGACTACTACTTTTTCTTAGGTAGAAATACAATAAAGACTATATTTGAGTTCAGATGACTTGGTATAGGCTTAGCTCTGCATCCAAGTACATACTGCATCTCTTGCTTTCTGCATCCATGTAATGATCTTTCGTTATCTGTAACAGACCCTCACGTTCTCTAGCCAATGAGCACACGCTTAGGAATTTGTTGCATGAAAGTTAAGATCAATCTGAGGTAGTACAGCAAACTTTTAAAATCCCAAAGTATGCATGAAAGGGAAGGCTAACACCAAAGCCCAATGTAAATTTCTATTAAAAAAAAACAGCTGAGCACTACATATAAGATTACAGCCCCCAAAATGACTTTTAAATAGTGCTTTAGGTTTTTTTTTTTTTTTTTAAATTTCAGAGGAAAAATACCACGTATTAATAACATATATGAAGGCATAGCAAACACGTATTTGTTTTATGAATGTACTGACCTGAAGAATGACTTTTGGAAGTACCTCTAAGTTCTCAGGGACATTTACAGAGTAGGGGGAAAGTTCAAACGTCGGAATATAATCATTAACATCCTTCAGAATAATATTTACTGTAGTAGTATCAGTTCTTGGGCTGCTTCCACGATCAGACGACTGAACAGTCAGTGCATAGGAGGGCTGCTTTTCTCTGTCCAAAGGCTTAGCAACTGTTATCACCCCCGTAACGGAATCGATCCGAAACTCACTATTGGAATCTCCGCTGACGATGGCATAGCGGACCTGCCCATTCGTACCCTCATCACCATCTGCAGCAAACACCTGGATTAAATCTGTCCCCGTTAAAGTATTTTCCCCAACTTCTACTTTATAAAGCTTTTGGGCAAAAAGGGGATTGTTATCGTTAATGTCAAGGACTATAACGACAACATCTGTTGATGAAGAAAGCGATGGCTGGCCCTTGTCTGTAGCTACCACAGTCAACGTATAGTTAGAGACCACTTCTCGGTCTAGTTCCCCAATAAGTCTTACTTCACCATCGATAGTGCCTATGCTAAATTTGTTTCCCGAAGGCCTGAGCAGGCTGTACTCAATGTAGCTGTTTGGACCGCTGTCCGGATCCGTTGCCTGGGCTTTGAATACGATTGTGTCTATTGGTGTGTTTTCTGGAATGTAGGTGAGCTTTGGAGAGATGAAACTCGGAGGGCTGTCATTGACGTCCAGCAGAATGATGGAAACTTGAGCTGTGCTCGTGTATCGGGACGCCGGGGGAGCAGCCATGTCATGCACTTGAACGACGAGGCTATAGAAAGACTGACTTTCCCGATCCAAAGGCTGCTTGATGCTCAGCACTCCATTCTTGTCAATGTGGAACTGTCCCAAGCTGTCCCCAGAGGCAATGCTGAAGGAGAGCTGTGAGTTGGAGCCTGGAGGAGGAGGGGAAGAAAGGTAGAGAGACTGTAAACTAATCCTGCTGACCTAGATATAGAGGCTCCTGGCCTGATTTCCCACAGAAGTGTGGATTACATGGGCATGCTGCCTGCTTAGCCTCCTCCTTTTAATTTTTTGGATATGAACTAATATATCAGGCAAGTTTCATACAGGAATAAAAATCTTTGAAATAATTCTAATCTTACAAGGGCAGAAGAGAAAGGGAGCAAAAACAGAGTGAAAAGGGGCAAAGAAATGTGAGTGAAAGGCAAAAAGAGAGGAAAAGAAGGAGAGATAGGAAAAAAAGAAAAATATATTAATTGGAGGGGTCACAGAGAAATTAATGCAAACAGAGCTCAAGTCCATACTTTGAGGGTACAAACTGATGAGGACAGGGTAGTTTTTCTGGTAGACAGTAATTAGAGGTGAAGGATAAGGATCCTCCAGAAACCAACATCCATTAACTTGCTGCTTATGAAACAGATTTTTTTGCTTATTTCCCCCCCATTTCTGGTAAGAAACATTCATGATGTCAGGATTTCAAAAATTTTTCCACTCAATTAAAGAAACCCCAAACCATAAGCTCCCAAGGCCAGATGGAGCAGGCCAACAGTGAACACTGTGGAGAGATATGCTTACCGTATATGGAATAGTATTCCGAAATGTCAAATGAAAAGGCTTCATCTTGTGATCAAAACATAACTAGCAATTATGGTCAACTAAAAGATTGATAGTATTGGTGCAGGAAATTAGTCTAGAATCCTGATAGGGCTATGAAATGGCCTTAAATAAGCAAGCCCTCTAGCAAACAAATACACATTGACACTTTCATTCCAGAACTAGTTCTAAGCAACTAACTGAGATCTATTTTCTCTTATTTATATTTCCCTTACTTGCATTTTAAATAATGGTGAATTTTTTTTTAATTTTCTTTTCATCCTGGTTCATAAAGACCATGACTTAGAGTACATGGATTAACAGACTGTTCTCTATTGCTTTACCCCCTCAAACTCTCCATTTTTTTTCCATGCGAAATAAACCAAGTTGTCTGATTAAATAGTTAATTACTTTGCTTTGCATTTTCCTATTTTTACTTAAAAGCTCCTTCTTCTCCCTCTGACTGAACTGCTTTGATAACAAAATTAGTATTCAATTTATTAATCATTACTATTTATTATGATCAAGCTCAGAAACTAGTTCTGCTAGCCCTGCTCCCTCTGGCCACTCTAACTGGCACATTTCCTTCTCTTCTCTTGGAGGAACTTAATTATAAAGTAAATAGAATCAAACATGAAAGACAAAATGCTTTAATGCCATTAAAGATATTAATATATTTATATGCCATATATTAGTATTTCTACATTACTTTGATCAAGTGAGATACTGAAAGCATAATGTTATTCTGTTTTTGTTCAGTTGTAAATCTAATTTCAGTGAAATACTTTTTGCAATTACAGTTTTTGCTGTTCAACTTTGGAAATGGGGCAGAATTAGATTTTACAGGATAAAATTATGTTATTATATTCAGATAATCTTCTTCCCCACTGTTTTCTCTAGYATCATTTGCCATTTGTTCTCTCTGCAACTTCTTGCTTGTTCTTCTTTGACAAAGGTAGATGGAGGCAAACAACTTCCATGGACCTTTTCACTCCTTGCCCTGTATTCTCCTAGGTCGCAGTGCTGCTAATGCTTGTGCAGATTGGATTGTGACTCCACTGAAGCAGCCTGAGATTTCCCTAAATATCAGTGGAGCTGGGAGTTTTAAGCTCCAAACTGGAGTCGTGCATCTCAGGCTTCACCTCTCCAGACTGGGAGCTGGATTTTTCTTACTGAAAACACAGAGGCTTCCTCCTTTTGGCCAAACCTTGCATCTATTTGATCTCATGGCTTAATCCAGCCAAACCAAGTGAGCTCAGACACACAGCAACCAATTTTCACAAGGCTCTTTCAAAGGTTCTATTTCTCTTGATTTATTTAATAATAAGCCAAAAAAAAAAAAAATCCTGCTTTTTTCTTTTCCATTCTGTAATTATCTATAGAGTCCAATTGGGAAACCCCTCTCCCCCTTTTTTTTACTCCCTTTGCCCGAAGAAACATTTTGCTACGCTTATTAATAAACAGACAAGAACTTGCTTTGCCCTGAGAAGGAAAATTYATTTTTCTGTTATTTCTATGTGGAAAAAAAAAAATCAGAACCTAGAAATGAATGTGCCAGTGTTCAAGGAAATTATTTATTCTTCTCTAAATAACTGAGAGCTGTAGCTGATATTTAACATTCATCTATACATAAGACTACTCAAGTTGATGTAAACAGCTATTGTTTCCCTCAGGRTGTGTCAAACAGGAAAATGACAATGGGAATTGTTTTGCTATCACAAAGCTTTTGCTCTTTATCCTAAAACAACAGGTATATCTCATTCTGAAACAATGTCCTTTCAGGGCTGCTACAAGCTAATGGACTATTTAATAAAAATCATCAAGGACATTATCTTCATGTGTACTGAGTATATTGTCTATAGGCCAGTCACAGAGGACTGTGTTACTCGTTATTTCTGTRCCCTAGATAAATATAGGAAAACACACAGACAACAAGTCTTGGGCTTGAAAGAGCAACRTGCATGGATAACATTGGCTGAAGTTATCTTATTGAGGAATGGGCCACGCTCTTGGAATGATGCTTCTGTCCTACGAATTTTAAATCTAGCCTGCTTAAGCTAGATTTACTAGCTTAACTAAGAGTTAAGCTTAGTTCACCAAAGCACTAAGAGTCACTAAAAAAGCACTGAAGTGCTTGTTCTTTTTTTTTTTTTTTTTCTCCATTCTGTATTTTCTTCCCACTGTATATCATGACAAGAGTAAGATAGGAAAAGAAGATAGGAGAAAGAAGACAGATTGGGTATGTTCCCATTTATCTACTAGTGTCTAGAAAAAAATCATGGATATGAAAGATCCAAGCACAATTTCATCTTGAATTTATAACATATTTATATACAATAAAAGCTTTAATATAAGTAGTAAGAGATCCATGCATGAATAGCCAATACCACTAAATTATAATTGCTGGCTTATCTTATATAATTATATATATAATTGTTGGCTTATTTTATGGAGTCTCTTTTCCCTCACTTTCTCAGTTTTATCTCAAAACTAGCTGCATAATTTCTATCCACTAGCACTAGAGTGTTCCCACAGAAAATCTTTCAGTTTGGACAATCCAGACTTTCCCAAAGAAAAAAATGTTTTACTGAATAATTTTGGTCAGCCGACTTGTTTTGGGTGCATAACCTGGGATTCTTCAAACCACGTAGGTGCTTTGCACTACCGGAGGAAAATATTTCAGGGTAAGAAATTTCTATGGGCTTCTTCAATCACATRTAGAGGAGGCAAAATTGCTTAACATGTCACAAAAAATATCCTTCATCTATAAAGTCGGTATGAGTTTTATGAATTATTCTCTATTAGGCCAGCCTGACTGATGTCTGTGGACATCTAAGAAAATGCAGTACTGTTCAGAATGATTTTTAACAAGTATTTTATCGCTATATTCTATAGTGATTCTTTTTTGGGACATAAACTATACAGCAAACTCCTTAAGCTGTAAAATTTGCTTTTTTTTTTTTTTTTTTTTATGCTCCAACACCTTAATACCTCCTAAACAACATGAAAAGCTTATTTTACAGACATTTTTTCCCATAATCTATTTTAATCRTTTCTTTAGCTGCATTATCAATAGCCTATAGCTCACAATTCTCTCATGATACAGTTATAAGTTATCAAACATTTAAGAAGATATGCGGCAAAGATTGCAAATCCAGTCTCTTATTTAAAATATACATTTTAAGAAAAAAAAGGCAAGAGAATACTTAAGTCTAATTTAACATGCATGTGCAACACGAACACATCTCAAGAATTGTCACTTGGTACTGTTGCCTAATTGTTATTAAACACTCTAGCTATAATATTGCTTTGCAAACTCATTTCCACAACAGCAATATCAAAAAACCACTACTTAGCTGTATTTTTAATTTGTGACCCACACAACRCACACACAAAAAATAAAGTGGCACCCTCTTACCTTCTTAGATCTAACGGGAAAAATGAAGTAAATAAGCTCTGTCTATTAAGGCTAGGGATACCTTTAGGATGCCTTAATTTGTCTTTTGTATTAGGTGTTCTAATACATTACCAAAGTGAATTTTATTTATCATCAGAAACGTAGAATACGAGGAATCACATACCATCATCCGCATCACTAACGCTGAAGTTGAGAATAGCAGAACCTGGAGGTAGGTTCTCCATCAGGGAGGTGCTGTACGAGGTCATGCTGAACACTGGCGCGTTGTCATTTACGTCTAATATGTTGAAGTACACTCGGATGGTGGTGAACTGGCCTCCCCCATCTTCTGCACGGGCCGTTAGTATGTAATACTGTTGCGCTTCGTAGTCCAGCACGCGAGTCAGGTTGAAGACTCCAGTCACGGGATTCAGGAAGAACATGCCATCTTCGTCATCTTCACTGACCGTGTACGTGATTTCTCCATTTATACCGGAGTCATCATCAGTAGCTAATATGGCTGCCACTAAAGAACCTGCACGGGAAAAGAGCAGAAAAGAGCAAAAAAAAGCCACTCAAGAAAGGCATAAGATTGACATGGTTAGAGAGGCCTCAGAACCAAGTGTTTCTGCAGGACAATTCAAGCTTCATAAATATATGCCTAGCTACCTTGATCGCTCCAGGAATTTCAGCAATTTTTCACTTAATCTGAACAAAGTATTCCTTTTCCTGTCTCAAAAATGATTTTTTTTGTTTTCCCCAAAAGTGACAGGAACCATATTCAGTTTGTTGGTTATTCTAAAGGACTATTAAAGAAGAGGAAATGGACAAGTATATTTATGTTACCTACATATGTGAACATGTATAGATTAGATATAAACAGGGGCAAAAATATCCCTTTCCTACTACTCAAAGGATCCTTTTTCTCCCCAAAGACCTTCCTTTTTTAAACCTTCCATATATTCATTCTTAAATGCATACTCAAACATCATACTTAGTGCAGCTGCTACACTGCAAGGGGGATGAGGAAACTCTCTTTATCTGGGATAGAAAACAGATACCCAAAGGGGAAACTTCACACTGCTTCCCCTCCAGAGAAGCCTGCCAGCGGCTCCAGGATAGCTGGAAAATGGGATGGGAAAAGCTGCTGCCCTTCAAGTACTGAATCAGCCTGTTTCTTCCCTCTGTATCCAACACTGCTGATCCACGGACAAGGTGSAAATGCACAGCCAAGTGCACACTGACCTGCATTTGGGTCTAAACTCAAGAATGTCCAGGAATCGAGTGTACCTCTTGAAAAATTAATTTGCAAACTTACATTTATAAGAGATTAAGGAGAGGATCTTCATGTCAGCAGGGAGGGACTGATGCTCACTAGCTGCAGTTACCTCTTATGGCAGCTTCATATTTTAGTGCAAAACTTCACTGTCCTTATCTCTGCAGCTCAGACAATGCTCCAATAAAAGCTTGAAAGCCATTGTCATGCCATTTAGATCTTTTTAATCTTTTAATTTAAATCTTTTTTTTTTACTTTTATTTTAATTTAAATCTTCTCTCTGTTTCCAAGTATATACTCTGATTGGTCTCACCATTGACAGCTGCTGTCTAGTGCCCAAGGCGAGCCCTTGAGCTCCTGTTGACTGTAAGAAGAAAATTGCAGTCAATATCAGGACCGTTTCTTACTTACCTGGAGTGGCATCTTCGGGAACGTCAAAGGAATACACTGGTTTGGAGAATCTGGGGATGTGGTCGTTAACGTCACTGACAGTGATGTTAATTCTCATGTCGGAGGACTGCAGGCCGTCGTCGGCGCGCACCAGCAGGGAGTACTTGGAGCGGCGCTCCCGGTCCAGGCGCTTGGTGGCTATCAGGTCTCCCGACTCGGGGTCGATGTGGAAGCTGTCATCCGCACCGCTGATAATAGTGTACGTGACAAGGGCATTGGCTCCCTAAGCAAAAGCAAAAGGGGTCAAATCAAGTTATTTACCAGAAAAATCTCATCAAAATTTCCAATGAGACAAAAAAAAATCATTCTAGTAATGACACTTGGTAAATAATTTTCGGAACTTTTTTTTTTTTTTTTTTTTAAATAGACAGTCTTCTTGCGTTCCAGTCTCTGCTTCGGTGCCCCAAAGATGTGTTCACCCATATCGATCTTTTAAATAAAAGACATGAAAGGACAAGATTATTTGAATCTGCTTTTTTGACAGAGCATTCATAAAAAGATGAGAGCCAGTCAGCAAAACAAAGCCGTTTTGTTTGTCGAGCCTGTTTAGCTGAGCAACCTATTTGCTATAGCATCTTCTCTCTTGATAGGGAATTAGTGTTTATTCTTGGTTCATATTTGGAGGTTAAATTAAACGAGCATCCTCGCAGCAGGCACAGCTTTGCCCTTTCTCCTCGCTGCCTTTGGGTAGAGGGAAAGTGTTGAAGAGTGCAGAGAAAAGGGAGGGAAGGAAGGAAGGAAGGAAAGGAAGAAGCCAACAGCCATGGCAGGCAGCAAGACCTGCAGGGCTCTGCAGAAACTCGCAGGGTCGCGCTTAGCTGTGCGCCCTGCAGCAGCCCCCTAAAAGCACCAGTTATGCATAGGATGCATTTACCCAGAATTATGGATAAACAGCTGCAAAGCGAYAAATCCTGTGTCACTAAAATCACAATTCTGACCTCTCAGGCCATATCCCTGCAAGTCAAAAACATTTGTTGCTGGGGTCACACAAAATATTCCGTTCCGTTTTTGATAGGGAGAGAAGGGGGTGAAGAATTTAATTTGGATTTGAAACATTTTGGTCAAAAATAAAATGAGAGAAGAGTAAATGCGTAGATAGCTCCTCTTCCCTACTTTTAAAACTTAGGATTAAAATTTAAATATTCTGTGTTCAGCTCCCTTTTGCCTGTCTTTTGTTGGAAATCAAAACATTTCGCATCTTCCAACATTGGATACATGTACCGGTACTCCTATAGCTTATAGAGCCCACCTATATATTTTGTTGAGCAGCTAATGGCTTGCTCTTTCCCCCCCCGCTTTTCCCACTGCTGCCGTTCCTGCACACATCAAAATTGTGATTTCCCAACTGAAACCTACTGCTAACACGAGGGGCACTTCTGCAGAAGAAAAGAGATGGAAGAAAACAGAGAGAAAAATAGAGCTGCTCAAAACACGTGTGCCTAAAAAAGCAAATTARCTGAGATAAATGCCAACTCATATTGGTGAGTTTAGAGAAAAACATTAGTTACCTGACCTTACGATAGTGCCTCATGCCAAACCTGTTCCCTGGAGTGTTGTTTCAAAGAGTAGGAATCAGCTAACTGATAAAATAAAATTCCTAAAGAAAACAACTTTGTACAGGTGCCCAGCCTTGACCGGCTGCCTGCGGTGCTTCAGTGTACATAGGATCTGTATGTTCAGGTGTACCTGGCGTACGCAATGCATTTTCCTGTAATTGTGTAGCTTAACAAAAACATTTGATGAGAATTTAAGATTTCACAAGCGACCATATGCTTTATAGTTTGTTTGACTAGCCAGCTTTCTCATAATAGAGCACAGCTAAAACAGCAACTACGCTTGATACCACTCTAATTGAATTAGTAGCTCTACATGCATTAGCTAAGGAGCAAATATAAATATATAAAACCTATTAAAAACAAAAAAGTTGTGCAGCAGATAGACATTTCTCATCTACYGCTGACTGAAAATAAACACAAAGTACTAGAAGTTTTCATAATTCTTAAGTCTTTGGTACTACTTTGCCRCCTGTCTTTACATCATTTCTCACATCTCTATGAAGTCCTTATTTTAACAGGGAAGAGTCTGAAAACTGCTGCCTAAACACTATTGCTAAATAATATCTCTAAGAGGGACTATACACAGTTCAGCTGCAGCTTTTAAAACTTCTGTCACTCACCTGTGTTGAAGGTACAACTTAGATTCTGAACCCAGGCTTGGGTGCAGAAAGGTGGCACGTCTTCATAAAGGGTTTGAGTTACAAATATTCTGGTATCCAAATTGAAACATAAACCTTTCACAAAAAAAGACCGACTGATTTCTGTATACTTTAACAAATTCGTACTGGAATGAGGGCTTTATAGTGGGTAATATATTGTGCTTTAGGCATAATTAAAAAGAGGTTGGCACCTAACACATTGCTAAAATCTTAAATTTCTGATTGCTGTATCATATCAGAGAGTATTACTTCAACATTCACTTCTTYCTAACCTGAAGACAAGCATTTTAAGATACAGAGCTACAATTTTTTTAAGCAATAGACACCTTTCCAAAGCCCTCCTTTTTGTCCCTATGACAGACTGGTACCATAAAATAAAGTAAAGCACAAGAACACATTCCTATCATTACTGGGGGTATTTCAATAGTTTCCTATTTAGTAGTGAAATCTATTAACAGTCACAGCAGGATTAACTGACAGACACTAAAGTAATGTGAAAAAAAGACAGAAATAAAATTATCCTAAAAGGACTGAATTCCCTTATGATTTGAAYGCAGGATTGCTTGTTGTTTTTAAATGTAATCCTATATTTTAATGACAACACACCATTCTTAGCATGAGTATATTGACTTTTTACGCTTTGACAGAAAAATCAGTTCAAATGAATGAAACAATGCAAGTAATATCTTAGTAACTTACGTTCCAAAAGAAACAAATAAATCAAATTATATTCAGATATGTTGCTTGACACACATCCAACATAACTGCCAAGTGGCCAAGTGTTTAACATCAGTTTAACATCAGAAGGCTTTTGCTATTTCCTCTACAACTCCTTAGCAGCAAGGTCCTCACAGTACTGAACCTATACTAGCAAAAATATTCTCYAGGTGGGTTCAGGTACAAATTAGATATTATCACTGTCTTCTACTGATATAAAATTTTCTTTCAAGAAAKGGTAAGAGTGGCATTAAGTAGTTCTAGTGAACTAGCATGCAGGCATTTTCTAAACTTTCCTTATTCTCTAAGTTTTGTGTAATGAGTTTTATTGCAAAGCTTGAATTGTACTTGAATGGAGCATTTCCGTGTTTCAAAGCTGGTTAGATTTAAAGCTGTGGCTTTAAACAGAATGAGTTAATAAATCTTAATTGCAAGATTGCCAGCCCAGGACCTTTGCCAAGTCAGTGGGTACGGTACCTGATGAGACTGATAAAAATAGTACCATCTAGAACCAAAACATGGGGGCATTTTTGGAATTGCTCATTAAGTGATGTTATGAAAACATCAGCTCGTTATATACAAGSCAGCAATCAGCCTCCAGCTGATAGGGCCTTTGTTTCACATTTGCTTGCTGCTCTTATGATACTTGCTAAATATAGTCTTGTGAATGGGCCAAATGAGTAAAGAACTGGATCTCCCAAGCTTGGACTCTCAAGTCCAAGTTCTTGCTAAAGAAATAAAATATCACGTACAAAATAAATATTTCCAGATGAGCTTTTTTAGTACAGTTATTCAAATACGAAGATATTCTCCTACCTCATCAGCATCCATGGCTGTCAGCTGCATTATTTTAGATCCATCTMCTATATTCTCTTCCACGGTCAGATCAAGCATATCTGTGGGGAATACTGGTGGGTTGTCATTGATATCTTGAAGCGTTATTTCCACCTATGCAGAGCAAGAAGCAAAAAAAAAAAAAAAGTTGCATGAGCACCCTGAGTTAGACATTGATTAAACCTGAACGTTACAAATCACATAATTTTGAAAGAAATCGGGTAAATTACGTTTAATCACAGGAATTAGAACATTCCCAAATAACACCAACAGGAAAAGCCCCTCCGGATAATAAAATTCCACATTGTTATAAAATACTCACAGGAAAGCCTCTAACATAAATAAAGTTAATTTGACTTGTTGATAGCAACTGATTTTAAGTGGACCTAGTCTAGTTTATATTGGAAAARATCCACTGATCGACTGTCACTGTAATCCCCAAAGTTGGCCCCTGGAGGATAGCTGCCAAGACCCAGGGCAGGAGATCATTCAACCATTAAATGCTGCTTGACATAAAGATGAGGTGGTATAAAATTCTCTCCGAAATGTTTATATATTGGCAACTCTCAGTTCTGAGGGAGGAAAAAACACCCCTGCACTTCATATTTAAAAACACTCGGGTTTTCCCTCACTCAAACCTCTCTAATTGCAAAAACAAATGTTGCTTTAGGTGCACCCACCAGCATCCGCTCTCCTTGCTGACACACATTTAAACCTTCTTTTTATATGCTACATCTATATGCTTTTCTAAGTAGCAATGATAGTGTCAGAAAGATGTGGTTTTTATTCACAGTCCTCCACAAACAGGATTGCTAGGTTCTAACAGCCTGACAAACAGCCAATGCAAAAAGCTGTAGAGCTTCATTTTCCCTGGTGGCCAAATATGACACCTAATACTCCAATAAAAAAAAAAATAAAAAAAAAGAGAACACAGCTGTTTTTATCTAGCATGGGGGAAAAAAGCAAACAAACAAACAAGGGAGGCTTGTTTTAGGCCACCAAGTCTTTTTACTAAAGAAATAAATAAGTTATTAAAGTCTATTGTCCTTCAAGAAAAAGAAGAGGGTAGAGGGAGTGGATAAGAAGAGGTGCGAAGAGAGAGATGATAAAGTTATTCATTAACAGACAAAATAATTGTCCTGCAGCACCTCCACCCCATTGAGTGCAAAGGATTTTCACGTACTTAGCAGAAAACCTATGGGTTAGCCTGCTCTGGGTTTAATCAATGCAGGAATCTCTGAGGATTTGAAGGCTACGATTTCCTCTACTTTTTTTTTTTTTTTTTTTTTTTTTTTTTATTTTCACAGAATAGGCCATCAATTGCCAAACCACTCACATTTGGTTAGAGATCCAGAAGATAAATGTTTTAGTGACAAAAGTCTGATTTTCTTGCAGAATAATCAAGTCACCTGGGCTCACTCACTGTGTGGTTCCCCTGCTACCACCAGAACCTAGAATGGAAGATAGCTTTGTAGATGACCCAAACACTATCCTTTCTTCTTCACTCTAACCCATGTGCAACAGGATGACTTGCCCCTGACAGCCACCAATCCTCTGTGGAGTYTGAGCCTGGGTTAATTTTCATCTCTGATGTACTTTCTAAAGAAGGCTTGGATAGATAAAAAATGTATATATAAGGAAGTCTCACCTCTCCTTCCTTCTAAAGCCAACTATTTCACAAAGTCCMATATCTCCACCAGTGCCAGACTTTGTGATGAAAACAGATGTTATGTGGACTTAAATGTTTTTTTCTTCTAGGACTCCGAAAATACAAATTGCTGCAGACTTGTAAATACCCTAAAGGTACACACCTCTCGAGGGAATTATTTGGTCCTAATTCACCCTTCTTTTTTGATGGAGAGAACCTTGCCTAGTGCTACATAGGCAGGCCAGACTTCTTCCCTGGGCAACCAGTGCATCCATATAGAACCATCAGAGGATCTCAACTACCCCCAGGTACCTCAGATAAATAAGATAAATACGTTTTTGAATTCCTCAAGTCAGATTGAAGGAAAAAAAAAAAAAAAAAAAGAGGAAAAAAAAAACGGCTGTGCAGTACTCCAGTTTATGTGTTATTGGGAAGTGCCTGATCTGTTGGGCACATTCAGCATTTACCTTCCTTAGGACGCTAGACACAGAGCTCATGGATGAAGGGCTCAGGTGATGTGCTACTCAGTTGTATKTTATTTCAACTTTGTGTTCTGTGATTTATACCCATAGCAGTTTATATTATGACTATCAATCTGCCAAAACTTTAAAAATAGAGGAAATGTTATATTGATATTATAGTGATAACTGTTCAAGTGCAGACCAAATACGGGACATAAAAGACTTACATGACCATTTATAGAAGGCTATAATTACTTTAGTTTAATTCCTTTGGTCATTCATAAATAGTACATAAAATACTCTATGGCCTGAGAGAGATTAACCCAGAAGGTTTTATGATCCAATTTACATCTCTGACAACTGCAGTACAAGAAGTGTTGACTCAACACTAACTATGCCATCACAAGCTGTAATTCAACAGCTGAATAACCAGGCATGATTTTTCCAAAGAATCAAAGAGCCTGAACTACTGGTTTTCAGGGCGACTAGTGCACCAACGTGCACTAATYGCAGAAACAGAAGAGATGAAATAGAAGTGACAGAGGAAGGCATTCTGCTATCAGTTACACTTGCCAAGCAGGCCACACACCTTGGACTGGTACAGCAAAGTAGGCTGTTCTTCCACYGAATGTATTGCATTTCACCAGATATCGTTTCAAGCTACAGCATCTGTGCAGCTCTACAGCTTATTTATTAACACCGTACATGTTGCTGCACAGCTAATGTTTCAGCTGCAGGTGACATTTCAGCACCAGAACCCACTTTCATAATTRGAGACGATGCTTTGCAAAAATCATGTGAAAAATATGTGATAGTTTCTGGGTTTGGGGGCTGGGAGCTTTGCATTGCCTACAGCTCACATAATGCAGCGCGCAGGAATCCAGGAATCCAGATGGCAAAAGGCTGAGATAAATTAATTATGAAGACAGATTACGAACAATTGGAAAAAGAGAAGGAAGAGTAATAGATGATGTAATTTTATCTCTAAAAATCCACTCATTAAATAACCAAAGACACCATTTCTTACAGAGATCCACTTGAAAGTTGGAAAAATAACAAATTACCAATCAGGGAAGATAATCTTTTAGAAAGAGACCACACTATTTTAAAAAACCATTTAGAGTGTAATTTAACCACAGGCCTGAGACAACGCATATAGCTATATAATTAACTTCTGGCTACATCTAATTAGCAGTTCTATKTAAAACCACAGCAAAAGTAAACAGATAGCTCATTCAGCTCACGCTCTGTACTGCAGTCCTAAAGAATAAGATCCTGCAATGGGTCCRTTTAAAAGTAATTTTACTTCACACATTTCTCAGAGTCTTGAAAGAAATTTTCCTCTAAAGTTGTCAGCAGCTACATTTTATGCCCAAGGCCTAGTTTAATAACACATATTTATATAAAGCGAGTCAGAACTTGGGATTAATATGCAATTTTCTATTCAGGAGTTAAGGATTTAAGTTGGCTGTTGAAAACACTACCTGCATTCAGATCTCAGGGAGAACCTCACAGAGCAACTGGGATGATAAACAACACATCTTATGTCTGGATTGGAGAGGGAAGAAAAAAAAAAAAAAGAAAATCCCCAAAGCTTTAACTTAATACAGAAGGCAAATCTTTTCCAAGCCAAGTGCTTCTTTCTAATCCCACGTTACATTTTCATAAAGTTGTCAGTGTGCATCACACAAGATTCCTGAAATATCTGACTTGATGAATGCCATGTGCCGCCAATTAACAAGAATGTGCAATTTTGCCTCCAACGGTGCAGGACCAGGCCGGACGGGCACCAGCCACGAGCTGCAACATGGCCTCCAGCAGCCGCAGCGAAGAGGAGGACCGAGTTCAGAAAGACCGAAGGCCTCGAACTGAAACACGCCCCTGGAATGCTAATAAAGTAATAAAACACAGCTGAAATAAAACACAGCAGAGTAGATGAAGGCTGGTAGCCCTTGCGTTTGTGCTGTTTGCTGCTGAAGCCATTCCCCAGCCGTGGGATCCCGAGCCTCCTCCAGGCCATGCTGGAGGAGCAGGATGAAATAGGACAGTGGCTGTGCAGCAATATATAGCAGSCCTGTATTTTACTATAGATTTCAGTATAAAATTTTACTTCACAGGCATTTAATGAATCTAATGAATCTAGAAAAAAAAAAGAAAAAGAAAAAACACCGAAAACTGAAGCCATCCTTYGCGTTTATGTTTCAGAAGAAAACGGGTTGCCTATTTACTGTTCCTTGTAAAGCAAACAGGCATTTTGCATCTCATCTACCTTTGCAATTCTTTTTCAGTTCCATTCAACCCATATTAATGTAAGCTCCACAATACAAGAGCATTACAAAAAACTGCCAGGATTAGCAAAAATTGGAAGTTAAACAAAACCACAAATTTCACCCTGTGTGTGAATTACAGATTGCTCCAGGCTTAGTAACATTCCTACAATAAAGCAACGCCCCACCACTACTACAGATAGTCGACCTGTCCTCTTCTGTGGCAATTTTCTCCTTACATTCTGCTAAGTCATTTTCAGAGGAGAAAAAGTATTAATTACTTGGACCCAGTCAGAATTCTTGCTGCTCAAATTAGTCCCTGGTGTTTTTCCTCCACAAACAAATTCAGAGCAAATTATGCCTCGTGGGAGCTCACAACATTAAGCTCACTAATACAAGCCAAGGCATTATTCATTGCAAATAGATTTTACTTGATTTACTTCTTCAAATGTATATATAAGAATCACATGAGAGTTCTTTTATCCATTCAAACAGACCTCAAATCTTAATGGATGTAAATAATCATACTAGGAGCTCACTTCACAAGGCAATTAGGTGGTATTTATTTAAGTGGTCAGGGCATGAACTTGAACACAATGCAGGCAGTGAGACACTCTCACCGAGCCTGGTGTTTCAAGATGTGGTCTTGACTTAAAGTAGAAAATACACTCTGAATTAACAGATGGCATTTATGAGGAGTATATGTGAAACTGACTCCTTACAAAGAGGGATGTTGCA